TTGTTTACATAATATATATGTGTGTACTACTGAGTATATTTATTATGTATATATAAATACACACTCATACAGTATATATTTTGAAAATATTTACATGTATATATTTATATAATTTATTATATAAATATATTTAATATACAAATATAACATATTTTTCTTAAATATATACATGCATGTGTGTGTATTTATACATACATAATAAATATACATAGTACACACACATATGTAAACAAAAACGTTTATTTTCGATGCGATTAATCATGATTAATCATTTGACAGCACTATCTTTTATATTTGTATATATTCTATTTAGATTTATTTTGTTATTATTTAAGTTTTAGTCATTTTAGTATGTCAACTGATTTTATAACAGTTAGCTGCCAATGCGACATTTCTAAATTTTCATTTAAGTTTTTCTTTTAACTTTTAAATTTTGTTTGTTTTGTTTTTTTTCCAGTTAACGAAAAATATTGTTATTTTAATTTTAACAATAACAACACTGATATCCACATATCCTGATGTAAATCGCAATAGTGAAAAAGATAATCAGCAGATTGCATTTTACAAAATCAAGCAGTGATGGAAGTTAACAAAATTATTTTATGTCTCTGTTTTTGAAGCACCTTCAGCTGTTGTTTGCTGGTGAGGCGACGCATGTGAACTTCTACACCACGACCCATGGAGCATATCTCACAGGAGTCAGAGAAGCAGAAAGACTCATAAGCTATTACGCTGATTGAGCATACAGTCCCAAAGAGAGAACAACCTATACTTTGGTTTCATAAAGATAACATTTTATGAATGTGTAACATTTTATAGACCTCCTCTCACACCCTACAGACTTACACAAGTTTGGTGTTTAAACGACCTATAGGTTGTTTCAAGCTGCCTGACAAACATCATTAACTGTGAGTGTGTACATCCAGCTGGTCACGGTACCATGCATATCTCTGTCCTGTTAATTGTTAAACATATCCATGTTGTACGTGTAGTACTGATGGAGAAATATTCTTTCCCAATCTCAAAGAAAGTTAAATAATGTTTTCTAAAAATTAAAGATTATTGCATTCATTGAAGTAAATTAATTAAATGAAGTAAACGGGTAGTTTTTAATCTGTGATATGCATACAGTGCCCACAGCTGCTATGCAGCATGACCCATGACAATTTAAAATTGATCAACATAAAATGTAAAGAACTTTTGATTTTGTTCACAATTGTATGCAGTGACAGTGCCTTGATTTTAATTACGTGTTTATCCGGGAATATCTATATTTAATAATTTATATGAATAAACTACTGTCAATCAAACGATTTGACATTCTCATTCCTTATTATTACTATTTTCCTTATTTATTAGTATTTAGAATAATAGAAAGTCATCAAAACTATGAAATAACATGTATGGGAATTGGGGAATATGTATACAGTCTATGGTAATGACCAATGAAAATGAAACAAAATAAAGTTCTCTTATATTTGAGCTTCTTTGTCATATTAAATGACTTGTTAATTGTATATAATAGATTCCACTTTCAATAAAACATTTGCAACTGGTTTGTAAAATGTGTTTAAACTGAGTTTTCGTTGCATTTACACGGTTCACACCAGAAGGCGTCAGCAGTGGCATTTCAAGCGCTTCGAAACAGTGAATCATTTCGCAAAGCAAAAAGTAGTTTCTCCCATCACTTACTGCAGTGGTTCCCAACCCTGGTCCTGGAGGCACCCCAACTAATGAGCTGATGACCTGAATCAGGTGTGTTTGATTAAGGAGACATGCAAAACGTGCAGTGTTGGGGTGCCTCCAGGACCAGGGTTGGGAACCACTGACTTACTGGACACTTGTTGGCTCCTTTTCCCATTCACCCAAGATGACCCATTTTGAGTTTAATTTTAGTCTTGTAAATAAATGTATACACAGACACAATTTATATTTGTCAACTAAACTAATTTCAAGTATTTAAACAAAACATTTAGATTAAAACGTTAAGCTCACGAGAAACAAAGGGCAGTTATATTTAACTTTTATTTTGAAAATTCTCGTACTTCCGGAGTTCAGTGTTCTCTTGGCCGCTTGCTTCACGCTGCTGCAGACACCGGTGATTCAGGAGTAATATGAATTAGAGGGAAACTGGAGAGTAATAAAGAATATTTAACAACAGGTGAGAAAATATACACACTGTGTCGTAATAAATGTGCTAATGTTACTTACATTTATCTCTGCGAATCGCTTGTGGATTTCGTTCAAAAGTTTTTTTTGCCTGGAATGCAATAATTAGTAAAATAATCCAACAGTTTGTTATCTGCAATCTCCCATTTAACATTCACTAACAAGCGAACATGGATTAAAATCATTTAGGTTTGGATCTAAATGTACACTGAGCTGTTATATTAAACCGACGAGTCTCGTACTAGTTTGCAGTTTTGCACAATAACCCGAGCTGATCTCATTACACACAACTACTACAACTTTTCAGACATCAGGGCAACTTGCGAAGAAGATATTATATTTGTAATCCGTGTTTTATATATTTGTATATATATGAGAACTAAGCACGTGTATTGTGTATATATATATATATATAAAATACGTTTACAAGTAAATATAGTTTAAGTTGTTAAAAGTCCACGTAATTGTTGAGCTGCCTTTATACTATATATATATTATAGTATGTGCTATTACAGTGATAATCATAATGAGAATTGAAATAATGAATATAAGAATAATGATAATTATTGAAAAACAAATGATTAGAGTGGTGCCCTGTGTAAACACCTACGTGTTAATTTCCAATAGCACCGTGAGATCTCTTCCCTTTCTTTTTCACTCTCTTGTCATCACTTACAAGGTGTCTTCATTGAGGATGATCATCACACTCCTGCAAGCAGTTCTCCAACCTTGAAACCCTGAAGATCTGCACCAACAACAGCCTTCATCAATGGAGATGTTCCAGAATCACCAGAGACCCTCTAGGAAGTCGTTTCTGTTTGCTTTCATCGCAGTATGGCTTTTCGTAACCATTTCCTCTGATGAAGATTACTACAACCTGCTAGGCATTTCAAGAGAAGCCAGTACTCGTGAGATTCGGCAGGCTTTCAAAAAGCTTGCTCTCACAATGCATCCGGATAAAAACCCTGTGAGTAGCTTCATTATGGCATAGCAGCCAGACGTATGTGTCTTCCTTCATTTGTGACACTCTGAGAACGCTTCCATTGTCTTTTTAGAATGATGCAATGGCCCACGAGAAGTTCTTGAAGATCAATCGAGCCTACGAGGTGTTGAAGGACGAGGACTTGAGGAAGAAATATGACAAGTATGGAGAGAAGGGCCTGCAAGATGAACAGCAAGGAGGAAGATATGAAAGCTGGAACTATTACAGATATGATTTTGGTAATTCAATTCTCTATGTTATGTTCTGTGTAGATATTATATAACAGTGTGACAGTACAACACTAAATGAATAGGAAGATGTGTGGTACTTGTCTTTATACTGGAGAAAAACCATGCAACGGTGTTTTTCAGGAATTTATGACGAGGATGCAGAAATTACTACACTAGACAGAGGGGACTTTGGTAAGCGATTATCTTAAATCACCCAGATTATGCACTTATATTGGATTTCTAGACAAACAGAAAAAGCATTTTGAATGCTGGATTGAATCTCACTAAAACATGTTCAGGTCATATTATACCCCAAAATCAAAAGACAAATATGTTATACTTTGCATAAACTTATATTTTGCATAAAGTAATTTTTTTTGTTTGTTTTGTTTTGCATTGTGATTTTTTGCACATTTTCCCCTAAATTTGATAAATAGCTCTTTTAAACAGTAAACATTTCTGTAATAATTCTAATAATAATACAAATAATTTTGTAATAGTTCATATATATGTATTATTAAAACCGACGAGTCTCGTACTAGTTTTGCAGTTTTGCACAACTAACCCGAGCTGATCTCATTACACACAACTACTAAAACTTTTCAGATATCAGGGCAACTTGCGGAGAAGATATTATATTTGTAATCTGTGTTTTATATATTTGTATATATGTGAACTAAGCACGTGTATTGTATATATAAAATACGTTTACAAGTAAATATAGTTTAAGTTGTTAAAAGTCCACGTAATTGTTGAGCGGCCTTTATACTATATATATATATACATACATATATATATATATAATAGTTTAAGTTGTTAAAAGTCCACGTAATTGTTGAGCTGCCTTTATACTATATATATATTATAGTATGTGCTATTACAGTGATAATCATAATGAGAATTGAAATAATGAATATAAGAATAATGATAATTATTGAAAAACAAATGATTAGAGTGGTGCTAATTTTATCAGAGATGGCCTGAGAAAGACGCTCCACCCTGTGTAAAAACATGTTCAGGTCATATTATACCCCAAAATCAAAAGACAAATATGTTATACTTTGCATAAACTTATATTTTGCATAAAGTAATTTTTTTTGTTTGTTTTGTTTTGCATTGTGATTTTTTGCACATTTTCCCCTAAATTTGATAAATAGCTCTTTTAAACAGTAAACATTTCTGTAATAATTCTAATAATAATACAAATAATTTTGTAATAGTTCATATATATATATATATATATATATATTTACACATACATACATACGCATATATACATATATATTACATGGCTTTAATGAGTTTGCAAGATTTATTTATTTTTTTGTTACTTTATGAGAATTGGAGGGGAAAATGTGCTTAATATTTCTAAAAAATAATGCAGAAAAATGTATACAAATTTTATTTATTTCGTTTTTTACATTTGGTGTGAAATAAGACCTGAAAATATCAAGTCAGGTTTCTTTAAACCCACCAATCACCTCTTTTTAGCTGATCTTGTAGTATTCAAATAGAGGCCTAACCTGTTTTTTCCAGTGGTGGAGTGTTGTGACACCAGTTTTGTCTTTTTCCACAGATGCAGCTGTAAATTCTGGCGCGGTCTGGTTTGTGAATTTCTATTTCCCACGCTGCTCACACTGCCACGATCTTGCCCCCATGGTGCGTAACTCTTGTTTTCTCCTTCTCTTAGTCACCTCCTCTTCGCACATGCTAGGATTGTTAAAGTTACTGTAGGTTAGTTATATGACTGACGTGTGATGCACCCCACAGTGGCGGGAGTTTGCTAAGGAAATGGACAGTGTGATTTGGATCGGTGCTGTGAACTGCGGTGATAATGGCATGTTGTGCCGTAGTAAAGGCATCAACAGCTACCCCAGCCTCTATGTGTTCAGAGCGGGAATGGTGAGAGCATTCTGCTTTCATCAGCATATAATACAAAATGTATGTTTAATGTCTGTAGTCATCCTAAAATATAAATGTAATCGTGCCAACAGAAGCCAGAGAAATACTATGGCGACAGAACAAAATCAAGCCTCACCACGTTTGCAATGCAGTTTGTGAAGATTAAAGTGACAGAACTATGGCAAGGTATTTAATTTTGGCATGACCATTTACATTTTATTTTCTTTAAATCTAGAAATAAAAATATTTTTCGGAGTTCATGCTGTCATTAAAGCAAAAGGTAGCTGTACTAAATAAGAAATTAATACTAATGTTTCAGTCCAACTTTTCACTCAAATAGTTATGATAATATAATTTCTAATGAAAATTGGTGTATTTATTAAGGGAAATACTTGTCTGTGCTTTTTCATTTTGTGTTGTTTGGTGTAACGATAACATTTTAGATTCTTCTGTAACATTTATAGTAGTGCTGTCAAATCAATTATTCACGATTAATCGCATCCAAAATAAAAGTTTGTGTTTACATAATATATGTGTGTGTACTGTGTATATTTATATTATATTTAAATGTACACACATACATGTGTATATATTTAAGAAATATATGTAATATATATTTGTTTTTATATATAATATAAATCATAAATATGAATTTTATATATATATATATATATATATATATATATATATATTTTATAAATAT